TAAGTGTTTCTGACAGAGCTCAAGCAAAGCAAGAAATCCACCACTGAGTCACACCCCAGCCCCTCACTGGGGGATTCTAGGCAGGGGCTCTACCACTGAGCCACACCCCAGCCCCTCACTGGGGGATTCTAGGCAGGGGCTCTACCACTGAGTCACACCCCAGCCCCTCCCTGGGGGATTCTAGGCAGGGGCTCTACCACTGAGACACACCCCAGCCCCTCCCTGGGGGATTCTAGGCAGGGGCTCTACCACTGAGCCACACTCCAGCCCCTCACTGGGGGATTCTAGGCAGAGGTATTACCACTGAGGTACACTTTTTACCTTTTCAATTTTTTTTTTTTTGAGATAGATTTTTGCCAATGTACTCAGTCTGGCCTCAAATACACTATTCTGCTTCAGGATCCTAAGTAACTGAGATCATAGGCCTCTGCCACCAGGCCTGGCTTCAATACAAATTTTTGTTTGGGGAGACAAATATCCTGAAATGTGAATGTTGTTGTTGTGCGTTTTTGTGTGTGTTTCTTTTATTTTTATTTTTATTTATTTATTTTTTTTTGGTTTGGTTTTTTGAGACAGGGTTTCTCTGTGTAGTTCTGGCTGTCCTGGAACTCACTCTGTAGACCAGGCTAGCCTCGAACTCTCTAACTCAGAAATCCGCCTGCCTCTGCCTCCCAAGTGCTGGAATTAAAGGCGTGCGCCACCACCGCCCGGCTGTGTGTGTTTTTCATGTGTGTATGCTACATGGCCATATGTGTGAAGGTGTGTGTGTGGATACATGGAGCTCAGAGAATTACACCCTACTCTGTCACACTCCAGCTTACTCCCTGGAGACAGGCTCTCTCACTGAATCTGAAGCTAGTATGGCAGCCACCAATCCCCAGAGATTCTCCTACCTCTGCCCTGGCAGCACCAGGATTAAGGGTGTAAGTATGGCTACACCCAGCTTTTAAAATGAGTACCATGGATTCAGACTCAGGTCTTCAGGCTTGCACAGAAAACACTCTTCCTCACTGTCTCCTCACTCTTCAGCTGTAGCTTACAAGGAACTGCAAAGCTGCTTTCAAAGTGGTTCTGCTTCTGTTCAGTGCATCATCACCGTGGCAGAGTTCCAGTCACTCCCCATTCTCATCATCGTGAGTGATGTCAGTTCTGGGATTTGGAAAGGAATGTGCAGAGATGTGTAGCAATACCTATTGTGATTGTAATTTGCTTCCTAACGATCTTAATATTTAATACTGTCTGTTTAGATTTCATTTACTTTTTTTTATGTATATGAGTGTTTTGTTTCTATGTAGGTATGTATTTCTGTGTACCCTATGCATGCAGTGCCTGAGGAGGCCAGAAGAGGGCTTCGGATCCCCTGGGACTTGAGTTTGAGATGAGTCTGGGAACCATGTGGGTGCTAAGGAGTCAAACTCAGTCCTCTGGAAGAGCAGCCAGTGCTCTAACCACTGAGCACTTTCTTCAGCCCCACAGTCTTTTCATATGATTTTTAAAAAATTATTGTAGCTATTTCTAGTGTGTGCTCCTGTGTGCACACATGTCATAGCACACATGTGGGGCCCAGAGGACAGTTTTTCAGGAGTCAATTCTTTCCTTCTACCCTGGGAAGAAAGGCTGTTCTCTCATTTCTGCTGCTTCCTGATGAGTATGCACATTACTGGCCAGTTTTCCTTTCTCTACCTCCCATCTTACTAGGAACTCTGGGATTAAAGACACACCACACCACATCAGGCTTTTTAATGTGGCCCTAGGGACCCAACTCAGGTGGCCAGGCTTGCATCCCAAGTGCTTTCACCAGCTGAGCCACCTCCCTAGCTACCTTGAATGCTTGCTTCTTACCCAGATATCTTCCTCAAGACATGCCTCTTCGTATCCTTTGGTGGCTTTCTGTTTTGTTTCTGTTTGGTTTTGTTTTAAATGGATGGTTTCTCTAGCTTTTTACTACACCTTTGACCCAGCCTCAAACATCTCCCTGGGCTGGGTAGAGTGCTTACTTAGCATACACTAAGGCCCCAGGTTCCAGCCCTAGTACCTCATAAACTGGGTGTGGTGCTGCATGCCTGTAATCCAGCCACCCCCCTTCCCCCAGGAGTGGAGGCAGAAGGATTGAAAGCTCAGGGGCCTTCTTGGCTACATGGTGAGTGCAAAGTCAGGCTTGGGTACATGATATTCTGTCTCAATGATGCAAAAAAAAAAAAGTAAATAAATAAATAAATCATCTGCCCCTTAGTACAGTTTCCTTGTGGCTGGCTCTTTAGCTGAAGTCACGGCTGCTTCTTTTGGATCCTGCTGTGAGCGCTTCGGTTTCTCTGAAGCTAAGGTGCTGGGCATTGTATGGCCCCTTTTGTTGGCAGCGGGCTTTTTCTCTTTTCTTTTATAGAGTGCAAGCTTTGTGAGACAGCTTAAGCAGGTCCTCTAGACCTGAAGGGATGGAGAGGAGAATTCAGCTTCCCACATTTTCATTGTTCAAGGACCCTTTTTCAAACGGCCTCTTTTCTTGCCTCTCTATGGTAGCTGTCAATATAGCCAATGAATTACTGTTTAAGGAAAAAGGAACTACAGATAACTGAATAGGTGTCTAGACTTGCCAAGGTCAGGGTGAGCTAGCTCTGTAGCTCTTGATATCATTACTATACCGTTTCTTCCTTCTTGACAGAGAAAGAGGAGAAAGACGGGAAGGGAGGAAGAAGGGAAGGAAAGAAGGAGGGAAGGAAGAAAGAAAAGAAGGAAGGAAATAAATTATCTTTTGTTCTTTCCTGCTTTAGCCCTTTCTGTTGTTTAGACTCAGATCTTAACCCACACCAGACTGGATTTGAACTTTTAGCCATCCATCCTCCTGCTTCTGCCTTCCAAATACCAGGGTAGCAGACATACAAACCCAACAGACCAAGCCAAAACAAAACCAAACCTAAATTTAAAAAAATAATAATAAAATAAAATAAATAAATAAAAAGCTTCTGCCTCTGGCTCTCACACACACTTATTTAGACAGTACGACACAAGGGAAAATGGTTCTCAACCTATGACTCGCGACCCCGCAGAGAACGTGTTCATCAGACATCCAGCATATTAGATAGTTACGTCACAATTCATAAGAGCAGCATAATTACAGTTATGAAGTAGCAACGGAAATCATTTTACAGTTGGGGGTCACCTCAACATGAAGAACTATATTAAAGGATCCCAGTACTAGGAAGGTTGAAAACTACTGCTCTATCACGGTGAAAGGCTTTCCAGTTTGAGTCCAGAATGGATAGCCAGGGAAGCATAGGACTGGAAGCAGGCCAAACCTCCCTTCTACTCCAGGACACTATGCCATGCACCCTGTCAACACACGGCCAGCATGGCTGCGAGCAATACAATGATCACTACAGGTCTTTAATTCACGTGTGTATCGCCTTTAGTCCTGAAGCGCACTGAGAGCAGGACCTATGTCTATCTCTATTCTCAATCATTATTTTTAAAAATTCTTTCGTGTGTGTATGCTTGCTCGTGTGTCTCTGTGTGCGCGTACGCCTGTGCATGCACAGGAGTGAACAAATATGTGCTCCTTTTTCCCTGTTTTATTCGTGTTTTTGTTTTTGTTTTGAAAGTGTTCCACTATGAACGTGGAGCTCACTGATTGGCTAGGCAGGCTGGCCAATGAGCTTCAGGGATCTATCTGTCAACCTTTTACCCAAAGCGCTGAGAAGCTAGAAGCTCTCAATGGGTTTTGAAGTCCGTGCTGGGGAATGAACTCTCCAGTCCTGGAGGATCATGCTCTTTACCAACTCTGCCAGCTCCTCCATAGTCATTATTAAATGTGAGAAATCGTGTGTGTGTGTGTGTGTGTGTGTGTGTGTGTGCGCGCGCGCGCGCGCACTAATGCACTCTGGTCCTGGGGGAAGACTTGGGTGAATTAGCATTCCAGTGCAGGACCTTAAGTTCTCAAGGGATTCACATGGTGCCAAGTTCACCATTTAAATGTTTTCAACTACCGTCCACCTCCAGGGTGTCCACAGTCCCTAGGAATCAGCAGAGCAGTTCACCTTAAAAGGTACAAGGGGAACCAACTGGGGTGGTACACAGCTGTGACTCCAGCAAGAATTGGGAAGCCTGAGGCAGGTTGGTCGTCAGTTGGAAGGCAGTCTGGTCTACATACATAGACCTTGTCTAAAAAATGAATGAATGAATTAATTTAAAGGATTAGGCTTGATGGCACACACAGGAGTCTGGAACAGGAAGATTATGAATTTGAGGCCAGCCTGGTGTAGGTATTCAAAACCATGCCAGCCTTGGTATGAGACAGGATCTCAAACAACAAAACAAGAACAATCAACATGGTTCAGTAAGTAAAGGTCACCAATTCCAGGCAGTGGTGGCGCACACCTTTAATCCCAGTACTTGGGAGGCAGAGGCAGGTGGATTTCTGAGTTCGAGGCTAGCCTGGTCTACAGAGTGAGTTCCAGGACAGCCAGGGCTACACAGAGAAACTCTGTCTCAAAAAACAAAAAACAAAAACAAAACAAAAAAAAAAGGTCACCAAACTTGTGGACCTGAATTCCATCCTCAGAACCCCACAGGGTAGGAAGGAGTAGACTCCTGAAAGCTGTCCTCTCTGACTACACACACACACACACACACACACACACACTCCACACAAGTAAATACATGAATGAATAAAATGTAATTTGCAACATTATACCAAAAAAAAAAAAAAGCAAAGCCGTGCAGAAGCGATCAGCAAGGAGCAGAGACCATTGCAAGCATCCCTGGACTTTAAACTCCAGCGCCAATAGGACACCCCTAAAAACGTGGTGGATCCAAGCACCAGCGCACGCCCTTCGGGACTGGAGGAGGGGGCTCCGAGTCTCTCTGCACCCGCCCACCTCGAGTGGAAGCTGCGCGCGCAGCGCGAGGGTCCTGCGGCGTCCCGGCTCCGCTCCGCGCCGCGATCCAGCCCGGGTTTCCGCGCGCGCCGCCCCGCCCCGCCCCGCGCCGCCTCGGCCGCCACCGGAGCCGCTCGGAGCTGCGCGAACATGGCCGAAGTCGGCGAGGACAGCGGCGCCCGCGCCCTGCTGGCGCTGCGCTCGGCTCCCTGCAGCCCCGTGCTATGCGCCGCGGCCGCGGCCGCCGCCTTCCCGGCCACCACGTCCCCGCCGCCGCCGCCGGCACAACCTCCACCAGGGCCGCCCGCGCTGCCCGCCGTGCCCGGCCCCGGGCCGGTGCCCTCCACCACCGCCACTGCCACCACCACCGCGCCCGCTCTGGTGGCCGCGGCCGCTGCCTCTGTGCGCCAGAGCCCCGGGCCGGCCCTGGCGCGCCTGGAGGGTCGGGAGTTCGAGTTCCTGATGCGACAGCCCAGCGTCACCATCGGCCGCAACTCGTCGCAGGGCTCGGTGGACCTGAGCATGGGCCTGTCGAGCTTCATTTCCCGGCGCCACCTGCAGCTCAGCTTCCAGGAGCCTCACTTCTATCTTCGCTGCCTCGGCAAGAACGGCGTCTTCGTGGACGGGGCCTTCCAGAGGCGCGGAGCGCCCGCCCTGCAGCTACCCCAACAGTGAGTACTGCGCCACCCCGGGGTCACTCCTCTCCAGACTTGACCTGAACCCCCTGGTAACCCCCTGACCTCCACCCCGCCCGGCTTGGCCCCTTGTCACCCTCTGATCTCGACCCTGCCCAGCCTGAACTCCTGGTTACCCCCTGAACTCGCCTCTGCCTGGTCTGGCCCCTGGGTCGTTCCCCAAATCTCTTCTTGTTCCGGCCGGGTCCTAGCCCCCGGTCACTCCCTCTTCCATCTCGGCCCTGCCAGGCTCTAGCTCCTCTAATCTCGGCTCTATCCGGCTCTGATTCCCTAGCCATCATCTAGTCTTGATCCCACGTAGCTCTGACCCCTGGTTACACAGATTTCTATCCCACCCAGCACAGCTAAGCCTTATCTATAAGTTACCGGTGATCTCGACTTTCACCTGGCTCTGACCCTGTGGTTCTCCTGTTCTTAATCACGACCTAACTAATTCTGACTCCTCAGTTAACTCATTGGGCCTTGATCTCTGAATGGACCCGACTGATTGGTAGGGCCAAACCCAGACCCCACTCAGCCTGAAATCCTGTCACCCTGACCCTGGACAGGCCTGAGAACTTGGGTCCACTCTAACCCCCCCCCCCTCACACACACACACACACACTCACACACACTCCCCTACCTCATCTGTCTTGCACTTCTCCCATGTTGGAGCTGGTTGCCCAGGATCTCCAACCCTTTCTGAAGCCAGCTTATCCCTGGTCCCACCTGACTTCAATACCTGGGATCACTCTTGACCCCCCCCCATCTTACCAGCCACAAGCAGTTACCCCTGACTTTACTTAACCCGAAGGCCCTAGGGCCACCCCAACCCTTTTCTCACATTGCCTGAGTCTCCAGAGGCCATCTCTGACTTCAGATGGTTTGAGACTAACAGCTCACCCTGATCTCCATATTTCCATCCTGGACTCTCAGCCCTGACACACTCCCCTCCTCCACAGCCCTGACCTAAACCCTGGCCAGCATCATGAGATACCACCCAGCCTAAACTAACACCACTCCTCCCCAACCCATCGCCCTCAATCCTGACTCCATTTAGCCAGAACCCCCAGGGTCACTTCTGACCTTTGCTGGTCTGAGCAGTGCTAGGTATGCTCCTGTCCCTGACGCCACAGGTCAGGACCCAGTATCCACTCCCTTGGCTTGGACCTGGGAGGAAGGAAGGATTGATGATCTGTCCCACTCCTACCTGGGAGGGAGTTACCTGGGAGGTCTATGGTGCTGGGGTATATGGTGAGCTGCCTTGGGACTCGGGGTGGGGGCAATCCGTGCTTTAAAGGTAGTATCAGGGCAGGAAGTACTGAGCCTCAGTTTATCCCCAGAACATGGTGGGAAACCCAGGTCTGTCCCTAGCTTGGCCCAGCTCCCAGGACACTGCCCTGTGGCATTTCAACATCATGCCTACCTTACCCTCTTTCAAGCTCCCATTATTCCCAGGCCCTTGTTGCCCTGAGGGCGGGGTCCAGGACCTTAAGATCCTAGGTACTAGGAGAAAGCCATGTACTTGCTCCCAGTAGCGTCTTTTTCTATTCGGTAGTTGCTTCTAATGCTCGCTCCTGTTCCTTTGACAAGATTCACAGTCAGGTGTGTCCGGCTCATTACTCACAGTCACAGGCACCGTTAGCGAGGAGGAGTCTTTGCTGGGGTCATTCCCAGGTCTAGAGTACTTGCTGTGTATGTCTGCCTTCCCAGGATCCAGACACGTTATAGATTCCAGACTGAATAACTTCGAGCCCCAGCAGTGACTCGACCTTCGTTTCCCAGACCTGAGAGCTGTGCCTTTGTGAAGTGTAGAGGGCTGTGAACATAGCCGGGTGGGAGAGCACTTCTGGAGCTCATGCAAGACTCTGGGTTCTGCCCCAACACCGAAAGAAAAAAAAAGGCAGATTTCTTGGAGGGACAGTTGTTTAGTTAGTAGGTCATTAAGTGTATTCCTGGGCCAGAGAAATTGACAATCAATCTCTCTCTCTGTTTCTCTCTCTCTCTCTCTCTCTCTCTGTCTCTCTCTCTCTGTCCCTCTCTCTCTCTCTCTTTCTCTCTCCCCTTCTTGGGGCTCTTTCCTGAAACTCAAGTTCTGAAAACACCTCAGTCCACTATCTTGTCCTCAATGTACAGTTCTCTCCTTAGGGTTCTTCACCCAGCCCTTCCTGGTTCATTCTTATTGTTTCGGATGGAGGTTCACATGCAGGAAACCAGAGGAGGAGGCCACTGAGGTCCTGCTCTGAGCAACTCTTCACCTCATTCCCTGAGGAAGAGTCTCAGATTGAACCTGAAGCTGGGTTGGCAGCCTAGGAAGCCCCAGTCATCCTCCTGTCTCCTCCCCTACAGCACTGGGATTGCAGCAGCAGGAAACTACGCCTGGCTTTTTACATGGGTGCTGTGGATTCCAACTGCCATCCTCCTGCTGTGGGGCAAGTGGTCTTACTGCTCCATCTCCCCAGCCCCACTCACTGCCTTTTAAACAAAAGGCTTTCTTTCACACAGAATTGTCTTCCCCACTGTGGGCAGAGTTTCAACCCATAGTGTTCCTTTCTGCTCGTCTTCTGTGGAGGCCAAGGCTGGGATTTTTGAAATGATGTTGCTGTGTGCAATGCCTGGAAGTCTGTCTCTCAGGAGCTGATATGTGTAGTGGGTGCGTGTCTGAGCATGGTGGCTTAGCTGTCAGGGAAGTGACTTACCACTGAGCCCGAAGACCTTTAGATGGGTACAGAATGCCCTGTGCTGTGTGTGTGCACGTGTGCCCATGCAAGTGTGTGTGCACATGTGAGTGCCCCGTATGTGTGTGTGTGTGCATAAGTGTGCTGTGAATGTGTATACAATATAAGCGTGTGTATCTGTGTACATGTGAGTGTATGTGTGTGCGCATGTGTATGTGCATGAGCATGCACATATTGGGGTCAGAGGGTAACCTTCAATATACTCTTTGTCACCCTCCGTCCTATTTTGTGAGACAGGATCCCTTACTGAACCTGGAATCTGCTGGTTTGGCTAGACTGGCTGGCTGCCTAGCAAGTCCTGAAAATGTCCTGTCTCAACTCTGCAGCACTGGGGTTACTGGAGTGCAGCAGGGCACCCAGCTTTTGCTTGAGTGTTGGGCACTGAGGTCGGGCCTTCAGGCTTGCTGGCACTCGCTGCCAGAGTTCTCTTTGTGGCCCTGAGGCGCACTTTTTTTTTTTTTTCCTTTTCAGTTTTTATCTTGAAATGAAAAATTCATTAGTGACTTGGAAATAACGGCAGTGTCTTCTGTGCCTGTCTCTTGTTCTGTTAGCCAGCTTCAACACTAACATTTGAGGTTATAAGGCCAGGTGTGGGGGTGCACACCATAGTGGCAAATTGAACCATTGCTTACAGGTTTGTTGACTTAACCGTTGCCCGCCTTCAGCTCGCTCCAGTAGCTCCATGCTTGACAGTTCTGTCCCCTGTGGACACCCACACTGATTCCCAAAGCAGCCCCAGTCTTCAGCTGCCTTCTACCCCACTCTCAGGATAGCTGACAGTGACAGCCATATATATGGGTGACATTTGCACACATCACACACTTTCCTAGGCGTCTCCCACACAGGAGCAAAACCAGAATTCAGCCCTGATTGTTTCTGGAAGCATATCTTTTCAAACCTTCAGTACTTTCAGTTACTAGTGTCGAGAAAGTGTCTCCTGACACAACTGGTCTTGATATGTTATGTTTGATCCTTGGGCAGAGAACCACCCAGAGCTGCCAGGCACGCAGGCAGAGGGAATATGCCCCTGTGGTACTGAGGTCCAAACCTAGGGTTTTGTATGTGTTATGTAAGCACTGAGCCATACCCCAGCCCCTCACTGGGGGATTCTAGGCAGGGGCTCTACCACTGAG